CCCCCGCCCCAACGCCCTCCCTGCAGCCCCCCCAGACCTTGGGCAAGGTGGGGGGGAAAGGGGGGGAGCCTGCTGGGGTGCTTTGGGCTGCAGCTCCCGGTGTTTGCCCCCAACGAGCCGGTGGCACCCGCCCCCCGCCCCCCCCCCGCTTCACACCTCGGCCCGGGGACCGGCGGGGAAAAGCCTCTGCTCCCCGGTAGCCCATTAGCACCGGCGCTTTTGGGGCGGGCGTCGAGCCTGGGGGGCGCCCTGCTCGGTGTCCCGCGAGGTGCGGGGGGAGGAGCGGTGCGGGCAGCCGGGACCACGGAGCTCCATCAGGCGCGGAGGCGGGAGAAGGCGGCACCCACGGCCGCGGGAGCACGGAGCATCCCCGGGGACGGGGCAGGACTCCGGTGGGAGCGGGGCGTCCCGCACGCCCTGCCGCCGAGCTGGCAGCGAGCAGGCAGGGCTCCTGTCGGTGCTGCCACGCACGCCGCTCCCGCACACCGCTCCCGCAACGGCCCGGCTCTGCGCGGGGAAGACGCGGTGCCGATGCCAACCATGGCGGGCGCGGGCATCAGGCTGGGCACGGCGGGCACGGCCGAAGCCCGGTGCCCCGGGCTTTTCAAGCAATTAACCTCCCGCGATTAGTGCCTCCCGGCCAGCGCGGCAGCTTTCATCTCCGCCGCCACGTGACCGCCGCCGCTACCGGCCAAAGCAACCGGTTGCCCGGCCCCGGGGATGGGGAAGGGCCCATCGGCCGCCCGTTCCTTCCCGTTATCGTCCGAGGGTCGGCCGGGGGGGTCCCCGCCGCGCAGCACCGGACAGGAACTGAAAACCGGTGGGGGATGAGGGGTCTCGCCCGCCCGCAGCTCGGCTGCCCGGTCCGGGGTGCGGGACCGCCGCTCCCCCCCGGCAGCAGGACCCCCCCTCTCCCGGCCCTGGGGACGCCCCTGCTCCCCTGGGGACACCCCTGCTCCCCAGCCCGGTTTTTTCGGGACTCATCCACAGCCGGTTTCCCCACATCCCGGTTCCTCCCGCTCGCCCCCGCTCCCGGGCCGGGCAGGGAGCCGGGATGCGGGGCAGCACCGGAGCGGAGGCAGCGGGAGGCCAGGCACAGCCAGGGCTTTTCTGCCACCGTTTGTCCCCTGCCAAGAAGAAAGCGAGTGACACATCCACCCCCCCGCGGCACCAGCTGCCGCTCCCCAGCGAGGGGCCGTGGAGCCGGAGCCCCGCAAAGAGGCACCGCTGGGGCTGGCGGGGGACGGGAGAGCTGGGGAAGGGTCACCCCCTGCAGCGGGGAGGGACAGACCCAGCACCCCCACGGTCCCTCTCCTGCATCCTCCCAGCCCACCCGACCTCCAGCCCCCTCCGTTTCCAGCCTGAGAAGGAAGCCGGGGGGCAGCTCCTCCAGCCGGGGCACGGGGATGCCCTGTCGCTGCCCGGAGCCAGCTCTGCCTCCCGGTGGGACCGGCCCCGGGCTCCCCAAGCCCCGGTGCAGCCGCCGGTTCTCGCTTTCAGATTCACTCCTCCGGCCTTGTCTGGAAATTCCAAAAAAATAACCCACCCGACAGTTCTCCCCACATGTGCCTCCACGTCGCCAGCAGCCACCGGGCACACAGGGGTCTTGGGCGACCGGTGCCCACGGGCGGCGTGTCTGCCCCCCTGACCCCCCCCACACCCCGCCCTGAGGGGTCCTGGGGCACAGACAGTCCCGGTCGGGGGAGCGCAGGGCGGTGGGACTCGGGGACCTGCAGCACCGGGGCAGGATCAGGCCCCGGGGGGGCTCGGAGACGCACGGTGGACTAGCACAGGCTGGGAACGGTAGCCAGGCCTGACCCGCCAGCCCTCCCCCACCCTTCCCGGGGCCACCGACCTTCACGTGAGGCCAAATCCTGCCGTGACGCACGGCGGTGGCGGGGGGTTGCCCCCAGCCCGGGAACAAGCGGGGCTTCACCCCCCCGCCAGCGGCCGGTTCCCGGGAAGGCAGCGGCGGGGAGGCTTTGCTACCCGGCCCCGGGAAGAGCTGGAGACCCCGGCGAAATCCCCGGGGAAACCGGGCACCGACGGCACACCGGCCTCGGGCTGCTCGGGGGCACCGGGAGGTCTCGTCCTCGCCGTGCGTGGGGCACAGCCCCGCCGCTCCCGCAACAGTTGGCAACGGGATCGCGGGGGGGGCGCGGGGTCCCTCCGGCCGACGCATCTGCCCAGGGGAGCGGGTCCCGGGGGCAGAAGAGCGGGACTGGGCCGGTAGCACGGGAACAGCCCCCACACGGGGTATTAATAGCACCGGAGCAATCCCGGCTTAAAATAGGCTGCCAGGAGCGGGGAGGCGGGTCCCGGGCGGACGCGACCTATTGTGTCAGCGAGCTTCGCCGGCAGAAGAGCAATTAGAGGGGGGGGGCTCATTGAGGAAAGCACGCACGTGACCCACTGCCCACCCACGCGGGAGACCCCCAGAGACCCTCCCTTGTCCCACGGCCCCGCCGGTGCCCCCACCCGGCAACGGCACGGCTCCGGGGAGGTGGCGGGAGCCGGTCGGGCCGGGCCCGAGGTGCTGGGGAGCCAGGAGCAGGCGTCTCCTCACCAGCACCCATGGGTGCCCTCGGCACGACGGGGTGATGCTGCGGTGCGGGTCCCACGGCAGGACCCGCGGGACCGGTGGCGGCTGACGGGGTAACCCACGGCCACGCAGGGAGGACAGGCCTGGCCCGGCTCGGCCCCGCACGAAGCCCGAGCCAGGCTTTGCCCTTGGGGACCGACGGTGCCGAGCGGGGCGAGGGGATGCCGGGCCGGCCCTGCCAAGAGCATCCCCGGTGAGCCCGG